TCCGGCCACCGATACAATGACCCTTCATGTTTTAGGAAGGATTCGCGGATGGATTCTGCTATGCTTAGACTTGATTCCGTCCGCGGATTACGACCATAGAGCAGCAAACTTTCGAGACTCCTCAATCTATTGCAAAATCCAACTTACCATGATATTAATTTGGGGGGCATATTTTACATTTTTTTTTTGTCCATCATTTTGAGTTTCCAACAAATTCATTTTTCCATTTCAATTCACAAACTATACCAACAGAGTAGACTCTGGCATTGCACTGGAAGTTTCAGATGCTTCTTCTCCCTTTCTCCATCTATTGTCTCCCCCCCTCCCTCTCTCTCTCTCTGCCTTTCTTTCTTTGTTCATCATCGATGAGAAAGTCCTCTCCTTCTCTCCTCTTCTTCATCTTCTAGTCTAATTGAGAGCAATGATAAGAAAAAAGATGGTATGTATGTTTTACTTTAAAGTTCTTCTTTCTTTACCTCTGTAGAACTTCTCTTGCCCTTTATTTTCTTTTTTTTTTTTCAAATGGGTTTTAGTTGTCTAATTTTCATATTTCTTATGTCGCCGGTGAAAATTTTGAAATTACGTCTAGTAACTTAATGAGATCTTATAAGATCATAACTATCTGAAATCATATACAAAAATAAAGCTAAATTGTGTTGTGTGTAGATTTTGCTTTGATTGTGTTGTTTCGTCCTTTTCAAGTTAGTTTTATTTTTAGTTAAAGAGTCCAATATGTGCTTGTGATATCAATATTGAGTCTTGAATATTCATAAAAAAGTTAAATGCTATCAACTTCTTGTCCGATAATACTGAATCCATCTTGAACAAAACAAAGGATCAAGGTCCCCTTGAATACTAAATATTAGTAAATGCTATGAGCTTCTAATTATCATAATATTTGTTCTTTTAGTCGGATGTGCATTTACTTTTGTCAAACAAAAGAGATTGTTATTTACACAGAAAAGGATTTATGCTTAATTTTTCATTTTGTCATTTTATAGGTTTTCCATCTAATTTTTCTCTGGCAGCCCACATCTTCGTGATTGAATATAATCATCATCGGCATCACATATTTTATTTTCTAACTTTTATTTCCTCTTTTTAATTCTCTTTTTTGTATCTTCTTTGAAATTAGATACAAATGTTTTGCAGATCTACTTGATTTTATTCTATTTTCTAGAGGTATATTCTACTTAGGTTTTGTAATTTTTTCCTAGTAAGAACTTTTTTGTTTTAACTCTGTCTCTAAACTCTAAGGTCCATTGGAATATTTTTTTTTTCGCTCTCATTCTTGAGTATCTACTGTTATTAATTATGAGAGAGCATATGATAAAAAGATTAGTTGAACCGTATCGTTCTTATGTTATAAACAGTTCTTTCTTCAAATTATTTTTAGCTACCTAATTTAATTAATAGTGGCTTTTTCTTTCTTCAAATTATAATAATAATTAGCATGACTTTTGAGTATAAAGATGCTTTTCTTTCTTTTTTTTTTTTATGGAATTTCAATGCCTGAAATAGTCTAAAGATCTATTTATTTTTTAACTTAAATGTTTTGTTGGTGATATATCCCTCATTTCTTTTTTTTTTCCTATAGAATAATGAGGTAAAAAGTGGTAGCATATTAAGGTACAAAAAAATTGAAAGAACTCAAATGCAATATACTCAAATGCAAAAGAATTGTGCTTGAGTTTTCTAATTTTCTGTATCAAATAGTAGAAATTCTGTACTTATTCTTTCTAGAGAAGCATTTCATTTTTTTTTTTTGGAATTGAAGAGAATCGTGCTTGGTTTTTTTGAGTTGTGTTTGTTGCTAGATGTTGTCGTCTAAAACTTTATAGATTGAATACTTAAAATCTATAAAGGGTTGTTCTTTCCTCCTCTTCCAAAATTTCTCTTGGCCTTTTTCTTTTCCCTTTTGTTTCTGGAAATAGGGTTTAGTTATCTAATATTGTTGCTAGCTTTTTGAGCAAACATTTTTTTTTTGGTAGGATAATAGGGCTATTCCAAAAGTTTCTATCTTTGCTTGATCGTCTTCAAATCCAAAAGCAAGAAAATTTGAAAATTTATCTCCAAATTATCAATTTCATTGCTGCCTCTTAATATTTATTTCCTTTTGATATTTCTTATTTTTTTCCAAAATTTTCACCTCGTTAATATCTAAAATTCGAGTATACTGTTCCTGATTTTTTTATCCCTACCTTCTCGCCAGACAAAGGCAGCCAATAGAAGATTATGACCAAGAAACATTGCACGCAATTTTGTTTCATTGGGTTTCATTCTTCTTGATCTCGGGTTTTCCTCTACTTTTTGTCATGTTTTTAATTTTATACTCTTTTTAAACAATTTCTATGTTAGCATTCATCTTTTTTTGGGTCTTCTAAAGCCCCCTATACAAATTTGTATGATTTTTAATATAGATGGGAGAATTGCCTAATATATTTTCTGGTTGTTTTGGATCCATAGGTTTTAAAAACCTTATCATAATTTCTTTGGCTAAAAAAGATTATTTTTGTTAGTATTTTATAACCTTTTTTTCTCATTTTTTTTTTTAGGTTTTGTATATGAACAATTTATTTTTCCTCATTTTTAGTGTTGGTGATTTTCTCTGGTTAAGTTTTATAGGGCGACTAGTTCATTCAGCACTAGTGAGTCTAAGCTCTAAGCTTTTAGCATAGTTCATATTTGGACAGGTAAATTGTTACATTTTTTTTTGTTCTTGATAGTGTGAGGAGACAACAAAAATGAAGGCACTTTTTTCCAGCTTTGAGGGTATGTTTAGTTTTTCTTTTTTTTTTTTTAAGGGATTGTTTTATCAATAGCTTATTATCCATTTGACTGACTTTTCCCTTAATCGACAGGCTTTACGATTTTGTTTTGGAAGAAATTATTTTGTAGGGTATTTTGAACATAGTTTGGCTGATATTCAATATGTTTAGGTTATTGTCATACTGCTGACTATTTTAGAAAAGGTTAACTTATTTGTCCTTTTATAATTTTTTATGAATTAATTATTATTGATATTTTCACTTGAAACATTTTATTTATTAACAACCTTCATGGTTTTCAAGTTTGGAAGATATTTTTTGCAATTCTTTTTTCCCAAAAATGGTTTGGATGATTTAGTATCTTTACTCTTTGTCGTAGAAATATTTTAGAGAGAGTTTATTAACGTACTATGTGTCTATAGATTACTTGTTACAACTCTTTTATGATTCTTCTAAACAAAAACATCTCAAAAGTGATGACCTTGTGCTGTTTAGTGCCTCGATAAATATGACTTGCTATTTGAAAATCATTGATTCTTTAGAGCTCCATTTGCAATACCATTCAAAAACTCCATAATATAGGATGTAACTTGTTAAATTAGTGGCACGGCATTGACACGAAGGAGGATTCTATTGATGGTAAATGATCATAGCATGATTATCTTATAAGGCCTATTTGCAGAGATATGCATCTTTATAGTTGAATATCATTTAGAGTTGTAGATACACTAATTAGTGTAGTTCATTGCTTACAAACTTTCTTCTACTGTGATAGAAAGAGCTTTTACCTTTGAAATGGTTTCTTTTTATTTTTTTTGTGCCTCTTTTCTTATGTTTGTAATGACTATGCTCCTATCCTGTTATGAAACAACTAAAAGTGTGGATGTCCATTTGTATTCTCAAGAGGATTAATTCATAATTCATTAATTCCAAGAGAATTAATTCATAATTGATTGCTTCATTATGTAAAGGAATTACATTAGATGAACGGTTTCAATCCATAGACCCATTCATGTATTTGATGAACCGTTTCATAGACTATTCATATTCTTGTAGTAATGAGTGCTTAATAGAATTGATATACCTTTAATTTTGTAGTACCTATATATAGAGGTATCTTGGCACCTCTTGATATGACCTTTGATTAGTTGAAAACAATAACAAAATTATTCTCTATTCCTCTACTTCTTTCTCTAATATTTCAATCCCTGTTATAGTAGTTTATTTTATTAGTTTTACAACACGTTATCAGCACGAGTCTCTATTTCTGAGCAAAGGTGAAACACAACACTCTATCGAGATTCTGCTAGTGTCAAATCAACTATTGGATATTTTTTCAAGCAACTCTTGACTACCTATTGAGATAAATCTCTAGCCCACAAACTTGTTTCAATTTCTTATGGCTAACATTTGAATGATCACAAAATACAAGTGTCTACTGCGGAACAACCACTAAACACAAACATTTATTGTTTGACATTTTTGATGTAATATTTCTCCTTTTAATTCTACTTATTTATCTTTAGAATTATTTGTTATAAATACTTATATTCTGATGCAATGAGTTTTGGAGATGCTATTATAGAAAATCAATTATGTTTGAGGATCCACTTGTCCTTTGAAATACGTAAAGAAAAAGATTCGACCACCCGAAAATGGTCGTTCTTTAACGAAAAGATTTGGCCACCAGAAGATGGTCATTATTTCAAAACTTGGTATGATAAATTTACTTATGGCTGCAAGTACACAATTCTACTATGTTTAGAATTATTTCTTAGTTAAAAATAATATTCTCTACATATTTGTCGAATATGCTCTTGTAGTAACAATATTGAGAGAAAATTTGAGAAGTATTATGTACTTATTGTGTGAGAACTCAAACCAACCGATATGAATAGATAAAGATATGTATTTTAGGTGTTACACCATTTGTTAAAACTATTTTTTTTTCTTGATTAGCCTTACTTTGAAATTTAGTAGTCTGTGGATGACTTTGCTTTCTTTGTTTTTGGAAATGAATGTGAGTTGCACTTGTATAACCAAGTTTATTTTGATAAGTTAGTGGGGTAAATTATAGAGATAAGAAAATTAAAGGGGCTAGGTATCAATAATTTCATAGTTGGGAGATATTTTTATTAAGAAGTAATCCTAGCAAGACAAGTGTTGCACATCCCTTAAGTCTTGACCAAGACATTAGCTAGTGTATATTTTATAACTTGGTCTCTTGAAGAGTTGAAGAGAAAGGGAGAGGGCCGTGGATAAGGAGAGAAAAAAAAAGAGGGAAAGCTTCATTGTTTTCATCTTGAGTTGTAGCAAAAAACTTGGAGGAATCAAGAGGGGAAAGCCATAGCACTTCAATCTTTCACTAAAACTTGAACAAGGAGGTGGTTTGCTCCAAGAAGAACCAAGTTTTTCTTGCTTCTAAGTTCCACCTTTGGTCAAGAGGTAAAACTAGAAACTCAAGCTTTCTTTTATGAACTTGAAGGGCCTTTGATTATTGATGTGATTAGAAGACTAAAGACATGATTTTTATGAAGTTCTATGGACTTGAAGTTGGGTTACCTTGGCTGAAATTGAGGGTTTCATTTGTTCATGTAACTAGTTGTTTGATTCGTAAGTAATACTTGTTAATTGATGGACCTCTTGTACAAGGGGAGAAGTATGGTTAAATTTTAGATGATTCATGACTAATCTTTCTATTTTGGTTGATGATTGATTGCTGAAATTTAGGGCTTCATTGATACGAGTGATTGAATGGTTAGTTTGCAAGCTCGAATTGGAGCAGGAACCTTGGAACAGTTTCGGGAGAATAGTCATAACTTGGTATAGGAAGGTCGGAATTGAGTTCCATTTGTTGCGTTGGAAACTAGATTCATGGGGATAGAAACCGTGAAAATTTCAGACCTTTGTTCTATTTGTGTAAATTATGGTACATTTCCAAAGTTTGCTGATTTTTGAGACTGTTCTACTTTAATTTTATAGCTGCTGGAATGTATAGCTAAAATTTGACTTGGTTGTGATCCGAAGCTCTTAAAGTGACCTTCTAAACATATGTAGATCTTTGAATGTAGTTTTTTGTGTCAAAATTTGGTGAATTTTGGACCAATGTAACCCCTGTTTCAAATTTTGTCAAGAATGTTGCCGGTGTGAAGGGTTTGGGTAAGTTTCTTTAACAGTTTAAGTCTGCCCTGTTTTGTGACTAAAACTGAGCTGCGAATTGCTCCATGTTGTAGATCGAAACAGCTTTTGTCCAAAACATAAAAGTGGTAGAAAATTGAGTTATCTTTCTACCTGAAAAATTTCAGATCAATCAGATCATTGTAGCCTGAGTTACGGCCAGAATCCTAGTGTCCGCGCAAAGCCTTATTTCTGGTCATGATTTTGCGGAAGCCTCTGACCATGACTGTTCGACCCTGAAAATGTGAGAACTGGGTGTTGATGTCTTCATAATAAATGTAGGTCTATGTCTTAGCTTCGAAACGGCATAAAATTCACCTGAATCCGAGATGCGTAGCCACAGTAGTGCTCAAAATACCGTAGGGTGTCGAAACTGCCATTGTTTTTACGTCTTGATTACCTTTCTTTTACTCCCGTTTCCTTGGTCCGACTTTGCATGTACCTTATAAGTATCATAACCCTGGTTTCTTATGACCTAACTAAGTGTTCAAAACATGATTTCTAGTTGCACCTATTGACTTTCAAATAGTGACAAAAAAAAAACAAAAACTAGAAAACTAGTTACGCTATATTTTTTTTCCTAAAAGATCTTTTTGTTTTGATCCAAAGTGGCTTGTATGTTCTTAGAATGTGTTTAGGTATCTCACATATTTCTGGGATTTTGAATCAAGTGCTCTTGCATATGACTTTTTAATTTGATTGACTAAACCCTTAAATGTGGACATTTTCTTCCTTAGTGTTTAAGTTGAGCTTGATGGCTATGGCTATCTTCTTATACGAGTATTGTGATTTGAATTTGATAAATTCTTGGTATAATATCTATGTACTTTAACCACAGAGTTCACGGGCGAGCCGAGCGACGATTCGGTGATTAGCTCCGATTACCTTCGCTAGTGGTGAGTGTTCCTTGCATGCGTGTATGCTATGTGACTTTCTTGTATAATACTGGATAACTGTCATACCATTATTAGGCGGGTATGTACTTTATCGCACTCGACCTACTCAAAACTAAATTTGTGTGTTTTCACTGATACTGACTGCTACTGACCTACTGTACTGACTACTACTGACCTACTGCACTGTCCTTCTAGTCCGAGACACTCGAGCAGATCCTCCAAATGAGCACCTATCTCCTGGACACTCGAGACACTGTTCAGTTGAGAGGCTCGAGTAGTGTTCTTCTCGAGAACACCATCTCCTAGTTGAAAGTGCCACTGCGCATGTGATTAAATTATGTGTTACAACGTCTGTGTGTTCATTTCATCCAATGATCTCTTATTAATTTTAAGTGTTTGGAACTGGCGGTCATGACGGACTGGAGTAGCTTCAAGAGTATCATTTGACATAAATTGACTTATTTTGTCATTGTTCAACTGATTATATGATGCAACTGGTTCTCGTTGTAACTGAAATTGTTTAACTGTTGCTTACTTTTTTCTCTAAATTGTGATATTTGCGTGACTGTTAGGGGCCTCACTGAGTTTTAGCTCACTCCTTTAGTTTGTTTTCCTTAACAGGGGGCGGAGGACCCTGAGGAGCAAGTTGCAGGTCCTGAACTTTCGATACTTTTGTGTAAATGGCTTTAGAGAGCATTTTGTAGCTTTAGTTTTTGTTACACTCAAGGTCGGGTAGTTAACATGAACGTAAATTTTGACGGTATATACTAAGGTGATTGTAAATTAGAATTTTGTCCTTTGGAATTGTAAGTGGGGAGTTTGGTTGTAATGCAAGTACTTTGTTTATGTAAGTTTATCTTTTGACTTAACCTTTAAGTTTGGAATGTTATTTGGTTTATTAATATCCTTTTGGAGTTTGAGATGTAATTTATCTGAGAACTGTAGTGAGTCCCGGCGAGAGTTGGGTAGACGGTCTGTCGAACCCTCTGGTGCGCCTTAGGGGGAGGTGGGGCTATTACATATTGCATGCTAGTTCTAGTCCATTCCCAGAAGTGAATGCAACTAAATTTCAATTTACTAGTTATGGTTGCTGCTATGACCATAATTTTGGTAAATATGTATTTTACCATGACAAAAGAAAAAGTTACCACTTGAAGTGGAATAATAATGATAAGGACAAGAAAGTAAGGATCCTGAAGATAAATGTCTTGAAATACAATTGACAAATAAAAATTATAATAGCATTTTCACATGGCCAATTTCTTTAAACGCCCTGAAAGTGTATGATGATTGATTTAATTTATGATAGTAATTGACTTTTCTTCCTGAGGAAGAAATGGTTGTTAAATATTTAGGATCAAAGGATTATGGTGATGATATTTATCCCATAAAAAATATGGTGCTAATGATATGTGTCTCATTAATAAGTGCTACTCTATACACTATATTCCAATAAGAGAGACAAACACAATCAATAGTAGTGCTCAAGTGATTGAAAACTTCAGAAGAGTCACTAATATATTTCTCTCTGTAGGAGAAAAATTTATTATAAATAAAGCACTACTTTTACCATGTCCGGAAGAATTTATTGAATTTGAATATCCGTCGAAATGGATATCAAATTGAGACACTAAATGAGACAATAATAAAGATCATGTTTAGAAATCAAATAAGATAAAGATTAATTATATCATAATAACCATTCGAGAGAGAAATAGTTATCGATATAGTTGTCTTCATTCTCATTGATTTATAATCATTAGCTGCAGTAAACCAGAAGTTTACTGATCCCAATGGATATATAATTTGATAAAAGTGAGAATATTTGAGAGTCGACGAGTATTTATACATACCCCTTTTATATTATATATGGTTCCAAAAGAAATTTAAAATTTATGTCGAGTATGAATCACCTTTTACGATTAAATATCGTAAAATATTAATGAGTGATCTATTGAATGATTCATTTATTCTGATGAGCTAATATTCCCGACATTAGGAGGAGGAAAAGATCAACCGAAAGGAAATCATTTGAAAAATTGGATTTCGTCGATCCTCATACAAAATAATGTGAACTGAAAGTTCAAGAAATTATTCATTTGCAGAAAGTTGCAAATCAATTGTCAAATATATTTATCGATTTCAAAAGAGTCATTAAACCAACTATTCCTGTAGGAAATACTCTGGTTAAAATTAATATCCCTGAAGGACATGTACAAGTGCTACAAATAAATTTAAGGCCGTCGTATCTAAATAAAGTATAAATTGATTTCAAATATCTTTAGAGATTAAATAAATGTCATGACAAAATTCAACCTCTTGAAGAGGTCGCTCCTGAAGAGCCAACTATGGAAGAGAATGAAATCATAGAAAATTTAATTGGAGCCTAATGAAATGTAGCACTTGATATTATAAAAGTTGATGAGGATCATGAATCTAAATCGGTTGATAAATGTCAGTATAGAAATGATTGGCCAAAATGGAAAGATGCGATCTAATCTGAATTGGATTCACTGGTTAAAAGAAAAGTTTTTGGACCTGTAGTCCAAACACCATAACGTGTAAAGCCAGTAGGATATAAATGGGTATTTGTGAGAAAAAGAAATGTGAAAAATGAAATTATGAAGTATAAAGCAAGACTTGTAATCCAAGAATTTTCACAAAGGTTTGGATTTAATTATGATGAAACATATTCACCTGTAATGAATACTATCATATTTAGATATCTTATGAATTTTGCAGTGCATGAAAACCTAGATATGTGTCTAATGGACATCGTTACTGTATATTTATATGAAAATCTTGAAAATGATACTTATATGAGAATTCCCGAAAGATTCAACATGCCTGAAGCATGCAAATCAAATCTTAAAAATATTTATTCTATTAAATTACAAAGATTTTTGTATGGGTTCAAACAATCTGGATGTATGTGGTATAACTGCCTTAATAAATGTTTAACTAAAGAAGGCTATACCAATGGTCCAATATGTTCATGTGTTTTTATCAAGAAAATGGGTCAAATTTTGTGATAATTGTTGTATATGTTGATGATCTAAATCTGATTGGAACTCCTGAAGAGATTCAAAATAGTGTTAAATATTTGAAGAAGGAATTTGAGATTAAAAATTTTGGAAAAACAAAATTCTGCCTTAGTTTACAAATTGAGCATTCGAAAGGTAGAATTTTTATCCACCTAACTGCTTATATCCAGAAGGTATTAAAGCAATTTTATATGGATCAAACACATACATTAAGTACCCCCAATGGTCGTCAGATCACTAGATCCTAATAATAATCCTTTTAGACCACAAGAGGAAGATAAAGAGACACTTGGTCCTGAAGTACCATATCTCAGTGCAATTGGAGTACTAATATATTTTGCTAATTGTACAAGACCTGATATATCATTTGCAGTGAATTTATTAGCAAGATTTAGTTCATCACCCACAAGACGACACTGGAATGGTATTAAACATATTTTTCGCTATCTCCAATGAGCAATTGATCTTGGTTTATTTTATTCAAATAAATTCAAACTTGAATTGCTTGGTACGCTGATACTAGATATTTATCTGACCCGCATAAAGTAAGATCTTAAACTGGTTATCTATTTACATATGGAGGTACAATCATTTCTTGGCGATCTACAAAACAATCATTAGCCGCCACTTCGTCGAATCATACTAAAATAATAGCAATTCATGAGGCTAATCGAAAATGTGTTTGGTTAATATTAATGACCCACTACATCTAGAAGAGTTGTGGGTTATCTTCCGAAAAAGAAAATCCTCCAACTATATTATATGAAAATAATACAGCTTGTATAGCTCAATTGAAAGGAGGATATATTAAAGGAGATAGGACGAAACATATTTCACCAAAATTCTTTTTTACTCATGATTTACAAAAGAATGGTGAAATTGATGTGCAACAAATCCGATCAGATAATAATTTGACAGATTTGTTTACCAAGGCATTGCCGACTACAACATTTGAGAAATTGGTGAAGAATCTTGGAATGCGATGGTTAAAAGATTTCAAATGATGTTTGCATTAGGGGGAGAAATTAATACACAGAAATAGTGCACTCTTTTTCCTTCACTAGGGTTTTTGTCCCGTTGGATTTTTCTCTAGTAAGGTTTTAACGAGGCATATTCTTTATGTAATAGACATCCAAGGGAGAGTGTTATGAAACAACTAAAAGTGTGGATGTCCATTTGTATTCTCAAGAGGTTTAATTCATAATTCATTAATCCCAAGATAATTAATTCATAATTCATTGCTACATTATGTAAAGGAATTACATTGGATGAACGGTTTCAATCCATAGACCCATTCATGTATTGAATGAACCGTTTTATAGACTATTCATGTTCTTGTAGTAATGAGTGTTTAATAGGATTGGTGTACCTTTAATTTTGTAGTACCTATATATAGAGGTACCTTGGCACTTCTTGATATGACCTTTGATTAGTTGAAAACAATAACAAAATTATTCTCTATTTCTCTACCTCTTTCTCTAATATTTCAATCCCTATTATAGTAGTTTATTTTATTAGTTTTGCAACATATCCATATTAATTGTTGTATCCAATAGAAACTTGTTGAGGTCATTGATGGAGAGAAGTAAGATAAATATTGTAACGAGTTCTTTGTTTAATAGATTTGTAACAGAGTTACCATAAAATAGAAGTTTTGCCTACTAAATAAGTAATGTGTTAAGTTCTTTGTTTCACTGTAACTTGTCATAGTCTCCATAGGATATAGAAATGGGCAAGGCATATATCATTCATTGCATACATGGATATGATTATGATCTAAAGGTACTTGAAATGATTGGATTTCTATATTTTTTGTAGCCAACATTCTATAATGCTCATTTTCTTAGTTAATTAAAGTTGAACTGTATTGTTGTTTTCATATTTTGGTGCCTTCAGGTTCTTGTATTGGTATTGCTCAATTCAAATAATAGATAAGTTTGACATATGGTAGGATTCTAGAGTAGAGAATTGAGAAAAGATTTATGATAATACATGACCTCTGAAGAACCTTTCACTATCTCCGACTGGTGTGCTAAATACTGTTATATGTTTTTCATCCATTTGACTGCATAAGCTTGTCAAGTGGTCACTCGTCATAGTACTTTACTTTTGTCAAAAGTCAGGACTAAGGTTCTGTTTGATAATTCAGTTCAACACTTAACTTAATGGATTCAGATTTTAATATACTTAGACCATTTGATAACCAAAAATTAAACATTTGAATTAATTAAGTGGCACTAAATTTTTTAAACTAAACTTGCTCTCAAAATTAAGTAATAAGCTATTCACTTATCATTGAATGTGATATGCACTCAAATCTATTAGATTTAATACTTAATAATTTAATAACTTAATGAAGATTCAAATTTTAGACTTCAATTATCAAACTTTAGTTTTATCAAATGCACCCTAAGTCATTAAATTGAGAAAAACCAACTGAAGAATTAACTTTCAGTAGGTATTGTAGTAATTAGTCCCTTCATAATGAACATGCTTTCTAGGAAGGTTTCCCTCTTAGATCTCTCAAAATCCAGTAGTCCATTCATAATATTTTGTATATTTCTACATCATCTTGAAAACTTAACACTACAACACAATTAGACTCAAAAACTATTAAACTTCTTACCAATCTGTTCCTTGTCGTTAATTCTTTTTGGGGGCTTGTACATAAATAAATGACTGCTGAGGGATTCTTTTTTTTTTTTAAAGCAAAAAAACTTGCTAGCTCTTAAGAAATGATATTTTTTAGGCAGATGTAGTCTTACTATTATGGCAATTCAATTACTTGCATATGTCAACAATTGCGTTGGAGCATGATATTGTTGCCTATGTTATAATTGCCTAGTGCAGTAATATCTAT